CTGGTCCTCCATCTGATTCTTTTTTCTCTCTCTTTCTCTCTCTCTCTCTCTCTCTTCTCTATTTTCTTCTTCTTTATATCTCTTTTTTCCCCGATTGACCATATTTCAAACGTCTAACGTAGTCTCACCTGAAATAAAAAAAAAAGAAAACAAAATGTTATTAGCATTTATCACAAGGTATCAATTATTTGCAGATAAATTAATTCGAAAAATTGGAAATATAAAAACAATATGATTAAAAATAAAATCCACGTAAGCGTTTAATGAACAGAATTTTCTTTTATCTCCTTCGACTTCTTCTTCATTTTTCTTTTTTTTTTTTTTTTTTTACCTTTTGCATTATGTAGATTTTTTCTTCTCTTTTTAATTTTTACGATGTATCTAATCATTGCAATTGCCATTAAATTCTCTCTGACATCAGTAATGAAGAATCTAAATAGAACACTTTTGGAGAAAGCTAGTAGTATATTATCTTTGTTTGAAGATAGTGCACGTAAAGGAGGAAGAGGGGTAGGACGTATTCCTCCGAGGAGCTCTCGACGACGGGTCGGACATCAAAGAAGTTGGCGCATAAATTCGCAGTAAAGCATATTAACGAGCGCATAATACCGAAGGAGAGGAAGGTGCAGTAGCTGGTTATATAACGTGTTGTAGGTGCGACAGCAGTTTGAAAATTAAGTGGCTAATTCTAAATCAAGTAAGCTCCGAATCGGTTTCACTTCGGGGAAAGAAGAAGGGGCGGTTGCATTAAAGTTTTATGAGTTACCTTTAAATGGCAATGAAATGAATGTTAAAACAAAGAGGGAGAAAATAAAGAAAAAAAAAAAAAAAAAAAAAAAAAAAAAGTTGAATAGGTCACGTGGTCGTTGTTGATTCCTTCAAAAAAAAAAAAAAAAAAAAAAAAAAAAAGAAAGAAAAAAAAAGAAAAAAATTTTTTCTTCGTCCATTACATAATATACAAATAAATAAATAAGCAAAAAGAAACGAAAAAAAAAAAGAAATTAACCAATCGAATAATGTAAATTTGTATTTGAAAATATCGATGCTTTTATTAGATTGGAACGAGTGAAAAAAAAAAAATGTGGATAACGATATTAGCTACCTAACGACAATGCAATTTCAACGTGAATGACAATTTAGCTTTGATGGTTCTGAACCGTTTCGAATAAACGACAGAGTCCAAGGGATGAAAGGGTAGAAAGCATGTTTTTATCGGAGTCCCTTCGTTCTGTCGAATACGTGCAAAGCATACGAGAGACAATTACTCACGACCCGTTTATATTTGCATTGCTTTTTCCCAGCGAATTGTAGCACGATTTGAAAACTACCAACTACGACACCATTGCATCTCTCTCTCTCTCTCTCTCTCTCTCTCTTACTCTCTTCATATGTTCCTATATATACATACATATATACCTATATGTAGGTATATTTTTCTTTCTTTTTTTTTTCTTTCTTTTTTTACCAATGTAATATTTTAACAATATAATACTTATAATAATTAATTAAATTGAATCGATTTTCAAGAATATCGATACGTACACACATCGATAGTTTATATTTCTCTGGTACGTTCGTGACATCGTAGAAAGCTCTTTTACATCATGCGAAAGATGAAAGGATCCAATTTAAAGAGATTCTTCTTTACGTTTCTTTCTTTACGTCCTTTTTACCCATAGAAAGGATCTTTGAAGCTTTTATAAATCATTGTCCACCATTATTTCTGAAAGATCGGATTACGGGAAATCGAAAAAAGGATTGCTTACGTTTCTTAAAATAGTAACTACGTTTTTTAATTTAAATAGAAATAAATGAATAGAAAAAGAGAAAGAAACAGGAGAAGAAAAAATTTAATTAAATAAAATCAAATTAAAATTAAATTAAATAAAATAAAAAGATGAGAGAAATATTATGCACAAAAATGAATATTTTCATTTCGTTTATCAACAACAACAACAACAACAACAACAACAACAACAACAACAACAACAACAGCAACAACAACAACAACTCTTTCTATCCCATTTCCATTTCGAGTATGGTATGAAAAAGTTTTTTTTCGGAAAGAATTGACTTTTTCTACGATACTATCGATACCGACGGAAGTAATCGAATTCAGCTAAATTCCAAAATAAGTTTTCTAGTGGAACGTTTCTAAAGGAACTCCAAGGATAAAAGTTTAAATAAAGCAATTTTCGCACTTTCTTCCTCCTCCTCCTCCTCCTCCTACTCCTACTCCTCCTCTCTTCGCACTTCCTTTCTTCGTTACTTCCTTACTTCCTTCCTTCCTTCCTTCCTTCCTTCCTTTCGAATCGAATTCGTAGTTACGACTTCGAAGTGAGGTCACGGTGCACTTTCTGATTGCGCTAGCTTGATATTAACTTTCAAGAGTTTCGATTTCATTATAAGAAACGAAACGAAACGAAACGAACGGCGGTAAGAACGAAGAAGTGTGTGTGGTCTCCTGAAAACTACTTTTGATCCATTTCATTTCTTTTTCTTCTTCCTCTTGTCTTTTCATTTCTTCTTCTTCTTCTTCTTCTTCTTCTTCTTCTCACTATTTCTCGAAACGTTTATTCGATTTGACAAACACAGATTGAAACGTATTAGGAGATCGTTCCTTTCTTTTTTTTTTTTTTCTTTTTCTTTTTCGATAAAGTGAGCGTCCGAATTATGGCATCCCATTAAAATAAAATATGAACGATGATTTAAACGTTAAAAAAAAAAAAAAAGAAATTAAAGAAATTAAATGCCTTTATAAAAGGAATATTATAAAAAGACAACTATGTGTAAATAGGTTAATCAATGAAAATATATCGAATTGATTTGATGAGAATAAAGTTTATTAATTAGGTTGGAAACTATGAAACGGACGTTTTTGTATAGTTATTTATTTTCATTCAACGCCCGTTTCATAATTTCCAACCTAATATTTTATTAGGCACGTATTTAGATTAGATTGAATTTGTTAAATTAGTTAATAATTTTTTTTTTCGAATAGTATACGTGATATAAGAACGACAGAATATGATCAAAATACGATTATGAATAAACAGAATTAGGCTTGATTTATGCAATGAGAGATCACATTTTCAATTATATTCTTTATACTCTTTTCGCAAAATAATAAAAAGAAAAAATAAATAAATAAATTAATTAATTAATTAAAATAAAAAGAAAGAAAAAAAAAACAGTCTAATATATATCCTAAAGTCAAAGTTAAAAAAAGGAAGAAAAATTTCTATATAAATTCAATTTAAACAGACTTTTTCTTTTGATAGCCTAATAAATGTTATATTTAGAATTATAAATAGATAGCTTTTAAATTGGATCGAATCAGTTTATCATTGATCGCTGATAAATCAAATCATTCGATTTGACATATTTAATTCATAGAAAAAGATCGAGAAAGAGAAACAGAGAGACATAGAGAGAGACAGAGAGAGAGAGAGAGAGAGAGAGAAAGACAGAGAGAAAGAAAGAGAGAGAGAGAAGTAGAAAATAACTTGACTTATAGACTAAATTCAAGGAGGCAAAAGATCTTTATCTTTGAAAAGTTATCGTTTAAAAAGTAGACGTCGAGAAAAACATGGAAAAAAAGAAAAAAGATGAAGAAGAGGATGAAGAAGAAAAAGAAGAAGAAGAAGAAAGGAATGATTGAAGATAGACAAAGAGGGACGATGGAAAAATTTCAGTTTCTCTGCTCGTGCGAAGGGGAAAACTTTTGTAACTTTGCTTAAGTTTTCTCGACTGGAATAAAGTTAGTCCTTTTATGTTATCTAGCTAAAGAGAGAGAGAGGAGATGGCATGCGTCCTGAAAAGTATAGACTAAACGGTGGCTTGTCCAAAGTAAGTAGTATATATTACTAACGACGGGCGACGACATACTGCAGGATGCACACGTCAAAGGCATTCCAAGTTCATCAAAATTCCCATGGATACGTAACAAGAAGAAAGAGGAAGAAGAAGAAAGAAGAAAGAAGAAGGAGGAAGTAGTGGAAGTAGAAGTAGAAGAAAAAGAGATAGAAAAATTTTTAAAAGGGGGGGAAAAAAGAAAAAAAAGCAAAATAAACTCCCTTTGCCTTTGGTCCTATGTTATACACACTATGTACAGAGTCTTTTATCCTGTCAAAAAGAAAGAAAGAAAGGAAAAAAAAAATAAAAAAAAATAAAAAGAATAGAAAAGAAAAAAAAGTAGCTTCAAACTTTAAAAAGAGTAACTTCGATATCTGTTTGAAAAGCTTCATAAATCGTGTTATGTTTATTTTATCCTTGCCAAGAGTTGCTTCTCTCTCTCTCTCTCTCTCTCTCTCTCTCTCTCTCTCTCTCTTTCTCTTTCTCTCTCACTCTTTCTCTCATACCGGAAGTTAAAGGGAAAAAAAGAGAAAAAAAAAGAAAAGAAAAAATGAATAAATATTCTACGAACAATGGACAATGACAATGCCTTCGTGTCGATTACTATCATCATCCTCTATCCTTTCTTGTGACATTTCAATTGCAAATTCAGATTGAACGTTTGTCGGACTTCAAAATAACAAAGCTAATCCTTTAGCATAGCTAATGTATAATTAGAAACGATAATAGTTATTATATTCTAGGAAGTTATATTAGTCATAATATCATAGTTATAATAGTTAGAAACAAAAAGCCTTAAAAAGTACAATAATAATAATAATAATAATAAAAATAACAACAACAACAACAAATAACTTTTGTTAAGCGTATCGGAAACAACAAAGTCTCATTATAATTATTAATTAATCTTAACGAATAAACGAAGCTGATATGAAGAGAGAGAAAAGAGAGAGAGAGAGAGAGAGAGAGAGAGAGAGAGAGAGAGAGAGACAGAAAGAGAAAGAGAAAGAGAAAGAGAGAGAGAGAGAGAGAGAGAGAGAGAGAGAGACAGAAAGAGAAAGAGAAAGAGAAAGAGAGAGAGAGAGAGAGAGAGAGAGAGGAGAGAAAAATATGCGACTAATTTATTTATTTGCGCGGATATATTGATTGGATCGGATCCAGTAAAAAGGAAAAAGGAAGAGAGAAAGAAAAATAGAAACAAACAAACAAACAAACAAACAAGTAAAATAAATAAATATAAAAGAAAAAAAAAAATAAAAAAGAGAGAAAGAGA